CAGGATCAGAGGCCACTGTGGTTCATCTATTCAGTCGCAAAGGAAATTCAGACAGCCAGGAAAATAGAGAACGTATATTTTGGGGATGTGTTGGATATAATTGTTATCTAAAAGAAGAACAGGAGGAAGACCTGTTCCTGTTTTATATAATGGGTTTAAAAAAACAATGAAGACAAGAACCACATATTACAACATCAATTCATCATAATGATATTAATCCTGGCATTTGATACAGCGCCTTGTCGCGTCTTCGAGACGTCTCAAAGCGCTTCACGGGATACACCGTGAAGTGAATTGACTGTGTATTTTTGTGGTCGAAATAATCGCAACATAATTAAGGATTGATGATGATAATTATGTGATCATTTCCCCCAAAGCATTTTAATTTGTAACAGCAAAAAGAAAATAATGGGATTGACATTATAACATCATCATCATCATCATCATCATCATCATAATCCTTGCAGTTGTGTAGCTCCTTTCGTGTCAGTTGGATATCTCAAAGCTTTACACGGGATTTACTCGGAACTGTATTTTTCCAGCAGCCGATTTCTGATGTCCCACAGTCAGCCACGAAACAAACATATGACAAATTTTATTTTGCAGGGTTGGTGTCCAGAGAAACCGCCTTTTCTTTTCGAGTAGTGTTGTGGAGTCTTTAATGTCCGCCTGAATAGTGGAGACCTCGGTGGTGAGAGCACTCGCCTTGCAAGCAAGAGGACCTGGGTTCGATTCCCGGGCGGGCAGGGCAAAACATTGGGCAAGTTTCCTTGCTCCAAAAAATACATAGAGTCAATTCACTTTACAGTCTATTCCGTGACGGCAACTGATTTTAATTGTTTGCTTGAGGTTCTTTGCTTAGGGAACATTTGTGATTTAACTTGAGATGTTCTCTTGTGTGTAAATAAATCGAAATTGGACATAAATAAGTCATGAGAACTAAAATAGTGGCGTAAAATGTATATTTTGTGGGAGAATCGCGGCAACCAGTTGCGCACACAGTGTCCCGCAAACAGTTGTAGATGGAGCGACCAAATTTTTCTTGAGGGATTATTACCCCCGGAAAGTGATCCACCAGTCCACTAACAACTGGGTTCCTACTCACTGCTGGGTAAACAGAGGCGTGTGGAGTAAGGAAACTTTACCCAAGGTTTCGACCTGCTGGGGAATCGAACCCGGGTCCTCTCGCTTGCGAGGCAAGTGCTCTAACCACTGAGCCGCAGGACTCCAAAATAGTATGATATCCAGTTAATTCAAATTAAGAGTTGACCAGTCTGTTTGCTTATGTGTGTGGTGCATTGGGTAGATATGTTTGTGATGTGATAATAAGTCCACACTCTGAAGCTACAAGATAGCAAGCAGGTCCCAACCTTATATATCCACCCAGCATTATTCCTTTCTCTTGCTGGGCCCAATGTACATCATCTCTGGGAGATCGGTCCTTGTGTTTTGGTCTCCATATAAACCCCCTCATTTTCCGTGTAATAATCTCTTATGAAACATTGGATCCACGCTCAGATTAAACCACTATTACTTTACCTTGCTGTAAATTGTAGTAACCACAGATGTCACGGATCATGACAAGTTACAGATTTGACATCAGTCTGAAATCTGGAGCAAAGCAATAAGTTTGCAGGAACTTTCATCCAACTGACATTGAATTATAGAATATCAAAGCACAGAAGGAGGCAAGTCGGCCCATCGTGTCTGTGGAAGAGCTGCCCAATCAGTCCCACTCCCCTGCTCTTTCCCCAATATCCTTGCAAATTTTTCAGCTTCAAGTCCCTATCCAATTCTCTTTTGAAAGTTGCTATTGAGTCAGTTTCCACCATAACTGTAACTGTGCACAACATTTTTTCGTAATCTCTCCTCTGGTTCTTATCTTAAATCAATTATCTTAAATCTGGTTGCCCTGGTTTCTGACACACCAGAGGAAGCTTTACCTACTCCATCATCACCACTCATACTTTTGAACGCCTCTATTAAATCTCCGCTTAACCTTCTCTGCTCTGAGGAAAACAAACCCAGCTTGTATTATTTATTCATGTAAAGCACTGGCGGGTGGGTCAGTAACCCGAGGACATTGATTTAAAATAGTTGTTAAAAGAAACAGAGGGGAGGTGAGGAGATTGAGTGACCAAACTATTTTTTTTTGAAGGGATTATTACCCCCGGAAAAGCAATCCACCAATCGACTAACAACCTGGTTTCTACTTACTGCTGGTAAACAGAGACGTGTGCAGGAAGGAAACTTGCTTAGGGTTTCGCCCTGTCCAGGAATCAAACCTGCGTCCTCTCACTTTTGCTTGTTTTATCATGAATTGGGTGAAAACCTAGAATTAGCATTTTCTGTTTTAATAGATAAATATAGGGGCGTTTCAAACAGCCAGGAACTAATGGAAAATGTACCGTGATGACCATTTGGTAAACTTTCCCTATCATTTCCTTATTAGTGAGGATTCTGGCAGTTGAGAAAAAGCCGGGGCAGGATGTCTAGCACCAGCGACTTGCGTTTATGTAGGTCACCTCACGCAGGTAGCGTCTCAAGAGGGCTTAGCATTCTCGCCTCTGCGACCAGAAGGTCTCAGGTTCAAACCCAGTGTCTTCATGACTGTTAATTCTGGAGAGAATTCAAGAAGCAGAGACATTGATCATTTCAAGACTTAAACCAGATTTATTGGCTAAGGATGATACAACCACTAATCAGACCTTTCCAAAAGCAGAAAGGGGTGGAGACTCTTGATGTACACAGATCGGGGTTGGAAACACATCATTCTCAAAATGAAACATGTTACACATCGATCGCGAGTTCCATTTTGCGCGGTTCACTACCAACTCTAAAGCAAATTCGTTAAACAAAAAACGTAATAATCCTTTGCATAATAATCCTTTGCATTGATATAGCACCTTAGCTTATCGCATCTTCTAGACGTCTCAAAGCGCTTCACAGAATATACTGTAGAGTGTATGTTTTATGAGCGAAAAGCGGCAGCCAATTGCGAACAAACAGTTATGGATTAAGTGACCACTTTTTTTTGAAGGATTATTACCCCAGGAAAAGCGATCAGCCATCCGACCAACAACCGGGTTCCAACTTTCTGCTGGTAAACAGAGGCGTGTGGAGTAAGGAAATTTGCCCAAGGTTTCGCCCCCTGCCCGGGAATCAAACCCAGGTCCTTTTGCTTGTGAGGCGAGTGCTCTAACCACCGAGTTATAGGACTCCAATCAAACAGCGTGATCCCAACGATGGCAAAGGATATCAGAGCAGGTTAACACACATTTTAATGCTAGATTGATGGAGATGTTTTTCATTGCTTCGGAATGGGGATGAGTTTCCACAGAGTTTAAGTCTCGAAAGGGTCTCCATTTATTCATCTCTCGCGAATTTGAGTGAATTGGGTAAAGTCCAAATTCTTCCTGTTTTGCACACAGAAACCCTGATTTTTGTTTCATGCTTCCACATTTTCTCGTAATCCCAGTCTGGCTTTATCTGTCAGCTTTGAACGGATGCCAGTAAGCTATTCCCCAGTTCCCATGCTCAGTTTTACTTCTGTTGTACTTCCAGTAAACGGTATGTTCAAACAGCATATTCTTGCACTGAATAACATTGTAATTCTTATTATTCTATTTGAGCTCCCAGCATATAGTGCAACCAGCTGTACCGAGCAAAAGAGTGCGCCCAGTACAATAATAGTAACTGTATAATTGATATAGCGCCTTATCACATCTTCTAGGCGTTTCAAAGCACTTCACAGAATATATTGTAAAGTTTTGTGACCGTGTATTGTGTGGGCGAAACACGGCAGCCCAATTTGCGCACAGCAGTGTCCCACAAACACTCGTAGATTGAGTGACCAAATTATTATTATTATACATTTTGAAGGGATTATTAATGCCTGGAAAGCGATCTGCCAATCGACTAACAACAGGTTCTTACTTACTGCTAGATAAACAGAGGCATGTGGAGTAAGGAAACTTGCCCAAAGTTTTACCCTGCCCGGAAATCGAGGTCTTCTCGCTTGTGAGGCGAGTGCTCTAACCACTACAGGACTACAGGACTCCACAATATATTGAAATGTGAATTGACTGTGTATTTTGAGGATGAAATATCGCAGCAAATTGAGCACAGCAGCATTCCCCAGACAGTCATGGAATGAATTATGAAGACAATACTTTCAGATAGCACTCGCACTAGGTGACAAAACCGGAGCCTATAAGGTGGTGAAACACGATTTGAAGAGACACCAGTAGAAAGTATTTCTTTACACAGAGGGGAATTAATTACACAGTGGGGTGTTTGTACAGCGCCTTTCAGGTCGAGAGGACGTCCCAAGGCCCTGGAAAGAGTTTTGGACCCGAGCTGGGGGTCAGGATCAGGGAGGGGAGAGGACAGGGGTGGGGGAAGCAGGGAGATCGAAAGCACGGTCGAAGAGGAGGGTCTTGAGATGGGTCTTGAAGGTGGTGAGGGAGGGGGCAAAGCAGAGGGACTACGGGATGGAGTTCCAGGGGGTGGGGGCAGAGTGGCAGAAGGCCCGCTCGCCAATAGTGGGGCGAGCGAGGTGGGGGGGGGGGCGTGAAGCAGGCCAGAGCCCGCTGAGCGGAGGGAACGGACAGGATTGTGGGGACCAAAAAGTCTTCTGTAAAAAACTCATCAAATAGTTTTTTTTCAAAATGTTATGGTCATTAAAAAAGACCAACAGAAAACAGGCTTATGTCTCAACTGATGAGTTTCTTTATAATAATAATAATCCTTGCATTTGATACAGCGCCTTATCACATCTCCAGGACATCTCAAAGCGCTTCACGACGCAGGTAAAGGGTAGTGACTGTATATTTTGCGGGCGAAACGCGGCAGCCAATTGCGCACTGCAGCGTCCCCACAAACAGCCGTGGATTGAAGTGACCAATCTTAATAAGAAGACTATCTTAAATTTCGGGGAGAAAGGTCTTAAGGTCGAGAGCGTAGGGTGGAATTTCGGACGGCTGGTTGAGTAAACTCTTTTAGCTGTGGCTCAAATCTCTTCTTCTCGATCTCTCTGTCTCCTCATTGCTCTCGGTGTCTCTCTGCCCAGCCAAGTGACACTTAAAGAAACGGGTGAAATTTCTTTGGACATCCTTGGACACGAAAATGTACAGCAGTGGGTCAAAGATGTTATTGACACTGACGAAAGCACAACAGGCCCTGAAGTGAAAATATAAAAGCTGTTCCACCTGGCAGATATTGCTGCTCACAAGTGTCATGATCACTCTGTAAAAGTAAGCGATGTGATAAGGCCCAAAAATTGGCACAAATAAGAGAATGACTGCAAACAGCAATCTCTGGATTCTTCTCAACTCGGTTTTCTCCAACGAGGTGGACTGTTGGAGGCTTCTGTGGATTCCCACGTAGGTGAAGATGAATATGAAGCAAGGGGGCAAAAAGGAGAAGGAGGTAAAGAAAAGCCTGTAGATGGCATAGATCCGGTTTAAGGGGTAACTCTCATAGCACAGCTTGGAGACCTTGTCAACGTCGGCGTACATGAAGCCAGGAGTGTTGCAGACCAGTGCCAGCCCCCAGACGCAGGCACTGATGACGTACATGGTGTGCTTTCTGTGGAGCCAGTGGAAGCGCAGGGGGTAGACGATGGCGAAATAGCGGTCGAGAGCGATGCAGCTCAAGAAGAATAAGCTGGTGTACATGTTCAGGTAGAAGGTGAAGCCGGTGAGCTTGCAGGCCGCGTTGCTGAACTGCCAGCGGTGCTCGTTGATGACGTAGTCGATCCAGAAGGGCAGAACAACAATGTGAATCAGGTCGGCAGCGATCAGGTTGAGCAGGTAAATGTAAGGCTTGTCATTCACCTTCGCGATGTGGTACAGGCTCCAGAGGGCAAGGATGTTACTTGGTAAGCCAACAATGAAGACCACGCTGTACACTACGGACACCAACACTTTGTCCTCGCCAAGGTCCATCGTGCACGACGTGTTGTTCATCTTGGGGGCTTTTTTTCTCGGCGTAAAACCAGCCGTGTCCTCATACAGGGCTATGGGGTATAGAGCCACGCAGGTAAATTGGGACCAAAAGGATTGCAGTTGAGCGGAGAAGGCACAGACACAATGGGCCAAAATGACCTCTTTCTGTGCTCCCAGGTTTCTACAGTTCTATTCGTGTCTTTGGCAGCTGATAAGTTGTGGTGCCTCACCGAGCTCCCTCAGGCCTTGCTCCACCTGTACCTTTGCGGGTCCACTTACAGCTCATTTACCGAGTGGGGTTCCTGAAATGGGAGATGGCAAGAAAATTCATTACGGGAAGATTCTCCGGCCATTGGCAAAATTCACTGATCGGGTGAGTTGTGCAGTTTTCCCTTTTTCTCCGGTGAGGAACTCCTCAACGGACTTAATTCCCCCCCTCTCCACCCTACCTCTGAGATCTCCCGATCCTGCCGTTCCCATTGTCCAGCAAAAACAAGCTCAATTCATGTTTCTCCCACAGCCCCCAACCCATCTGCCCCACCATCGCCATTTTGCCTGCCCCCATTCCTGGAGTCCCTCCGACTCACTCCTTCCCTCCCCGCTTTCAAGGCACGTCAAGATCTAACTCTTTGACCGCACTTTCAGACTTCCCCTTCCCTCCCCACCCCACCTCCCTCGGTCCCCACCTCCCTCGGCCCCCACCTCCCTCGACCCCCACTTCCCTTGGCCCCCAGCTCCAGCTCAGGTGGCCAGCCGGCAGTGTCGAGCGCTTTGAGACACCTTTCCAAACTGAGAAAGGCTACGTTTCAACAATAACTACAACAGTAACTTGCACTTCTCTGTTAACAATTCGTCGCTCTAAGTTTGCGACAAAATACAGTGACAGAAGTTTTACTTTTGAGCAAGTCTTCTGATTATTCATATTGTTTCTGTGGGATATGACTCACTGAACCAAATGGCGTGAGGCCAAGATGAAAGATGGATTTATTGGCACAGTTCCTAGATCACTGTGCAATCAGCCTAGACATGATCAGATCTCTATTGGAGGAGAACTATTCAACCGTTTAGAATTTTTCTGTAGTGTCTGTGAGAGATGAGCTAGGTCAATGTGCTCACCCTGAGTTATGGGAACAGAATCTATCAGAGACCTAACAGAAAGGACTTTCATCAAGAAAAAAAACAGAGCCTCGAAATTCCTCATGGAATATTCACCATTTAAGGTCTTAAGGCCATTGTGGAGTCCTGTAGCTCAGTGATCAGAGCTCTCGCCTCGCAAGCGAGAAGACCTAGACTTGGGTATAACAAGTACCATTTCCAAGTTTGCGGACGACACAAAGTTAGGGAGGGGGTAAACAGTGAGAAGGATAGGAGCCGACTCCAGGAAGACATAGACAGAATGTAAAATGGGCGACACATGACAGATGAGTTTCAATGTGGAGAAATGCGAAGTAATGCATTTTGGTAGAAAGAATGAGGCAATATAGGCGGTAATACAATCTTAAGGGGGGGGTGAAAGAGCAGAGACCTGGGGGGTGGGCAGGTAAATGAATCTTTGAAGGTGGCAGGACAGGTAGATACAGCTGTAAAAAGGGCAAATGGGATACTAGGCTTTATAAATAGGGGCATAGAGTACAAGAGTCAGGAGGTTATGATTAACTTATATAAAACACTGGTTAGACCTCAGTTAGAGTATGGCGCACCACACTATAGGAAGGATGTTAAGGCATTGGAAAGGGTGCAGAGGAGATTTACGAGGATGGTACCAGGAATGAGGGACCTTGATGATGAGGAAAGGCTGGAGAGGCCGGGATTGTTCTCGTTGGAGCAGAGAAGGTTACGAGGAGACCTAATAGAGGTCTTCAAAATCATGAGGGGATTTGATGGGTTAGAAAGGGAAAAACTGTTCTCAGTGGTGGGTGTGTCGGTGACTCGATGTCACAGATTCAAAGTAGTCTCTAAAAGAAGCCGAGGAGAGGTGAGAAGAATTTTTTTCACGCAGCGAGTTGTTTGAATCTGGAACATTGCCTGAAAGGGCGGTCGAGGCCGATTCGATGACAACTTTTAAGAACGCGGTGGACGGGTATTTGAGGAGGACGGGTTTGCAGGTTATGGGGAAAGGGCTGGGGAGTGGGACTGACATTACATTGCTCTTCTCAAAGAGTCGGCACAGACTTGATGGGCCGAACGGCCTCTTTTTGTGCTGTACGATTCTACGATTCTCTGATTGTATGATTCTATGATTCCAACAATCCATTGCCAGGCACGACACCTTTGGAGCTGGATCAAGGATTCCTGAATCTCACGAAGCTTAACCAAATTCTCTCTTAGATGCCCTGGTCCCTGAATTATATTTGTGACCCCTGTCTTCACTGTTGCAGGAAATCCGGGTGAAAGATAGGGGTGATAGGAAGTTGATGCCCAAAGGCGTAGTCAAAAGAGAGAGGTTTGTAGAAGGATTTTTGAAGTGACAAGTGAGGGTTAATGCTGGAGGGACTTGGGGAGAGATGAAACTCGCCCAAAAGGCACGGTTGAAAAGGTAGGTCTAAACTCCCCTCCCAATACCCCGGGGCAGATCGGGCATGGAAAGCGAAGTGAGCTGGTGGTTTGCCGAGCAGAGGGAAGAGCTCAGCCAACACATTCACGGGAGAAAACCAGAGTAGAGCAAGGCTCAAATGTCCGCTCGAGTATAACATCTCCGGAGAGGCTAGGAAATAAAACAAAAGTACTTACAAGGAAGGTGCATTGTCTGCAAGCAGAGAGGTTCAGCTTCTTCAAAGTTCTGCTCATGTAGAGTCAATGATCATATCAAGACTAAAGTGTGGGAACACACTTCCGTTTCTGAAGCTGTTAAGAGCCATGTCATGCTCTTTCGTTTGCAGAACTGTGTTCAGTTGTTGCTGAAGATATTTTCAACTGATAATAATTTTTTTTTCCAAGCTCAGCCGGGTTTCTATCTGACACCCAAGAAACCCATCACCGTGCTCTTCAGAGTGTCCAAACTGAACTGAGAATTCCACGCAACCCCACCGAACGCGGTGGAAATCCCACACAGAGAGATTGTCGCACTGGAACACTCCTCCGTTCTTACCGGGTTCGAGGACTGATGTGAGTCAACCCCGCTTTTTTGATACGGCGCTTTAATGCGTCTTCGAGACGTGTCAAAGCACTTTGCGGAATATACCGTAAAGAATGCGCGCTTTGTGGGCGAAACGCGGCAGCCAATCGCGCACAGCAGCGTCCCCACAAACAGTCATGGATTGAGCGACCAAATTATTTTACATGTATTTTGAATGGATTATCACCCCCAGAAAGCGATCCATCGATTGACTAACCACCAGGTTCTTACTCACTGCCCGGTAAACAGAGGCGCGTGCGTGGAGTAAGGAAACCTGCCCAAGGTTTCGCCCCCTGCCCGGGAATCGAACCCCAGGTCCTCTCGCTTGCGAGGCGAGGGCTCTGACCACCGAGCTACAAGCCTCTGCAGAAGCTGCAGATGGTGGTCAGAAGGTATCTTAATTTGGTTCTTGTGAGGGTTTCCGAAAATTAGCTTCCAAATTCAGACTGCGGTTCACAAAGAGACAAAGTGTCCTATAGCTCAGTAGTTGTTAAGAGCCAAGCGAGAGACCTGGGTTCAATCCCTGGCAGGGTGAAACGTTGGGCCAAAAGAGTTTCCTCTACACGTCTCTGTTTACCTAGCAATAAGTAGGAACCCAGTTGTTAGTCAACCGACGGATCGCTTTTCCGAGGGGTAATAATAATAATCCCTTCAAAAAAAATTATGATTTGGTCCCTTCAATCCACGGCTGTTTGTGGGGACGCTGCTGTGCGCAATTGGCTGCCGTGTTTCGCCCACAAAAGGTACAGTCAATTCACTTTGCAGTATGTCCTGCGAAGCGCTTTGAGACGTCTCGAAGACCTGATAAGGCTCTGTATCAAATGCGAGGATTATTACTATGACAAAGAAACTCATCAGTTGAGACGTATTAAGATGAGGGAGCTCTTGCTCCTTCTTGTGTTGCAATTGCAAATAACAGTCATTTCGAATACGATAACAATAAATGCATTTGATATAGTGTTTTTCACGTCTTCGAGATGTCTCAAAGCGCGTCACGGAATATACCGTAAAGTGAAGTGACTGTATATTTGTGGGCGAAACGCGGCAGCCAATGGCGCACAGCAGCGTCGGCAAACAGTCGTGGATTGAAGGGACTAAATTATTATTGTTTTTTTCCTTGAGGGATTATTATCAGGCGTAAGGAAACTTGCTCAAGGTTTCACCCTGCTGGGAATCGAACCCAGGTCTCTCGCTTGCGAGGTGAGTGCTCTAACCACTGAGCTGCAGGACTCCATGATGAATCAATCTATTATTTTCCTCTTTATTTCCAGGTGTCAGGCAGATGGTTAATAATATTCTGAGCGCTGTTGGATTTGGCCAAAGTGATGGACAACCCAACCCAGGTACTTTCTTGGTCCGGATGATGGAGTGACCAGAAATGACTGGGCATCATCTCCATCCAGGCTTCACCCCGAGTTACTTGGCTACGGGGGTGCCTGAGCGCCTAAGTATTCAGAGTTATCGTGTTGTTGAGAAGGCTCAAAGTGCTTCACAGAATATATTATCAAGTGTAGTGACTGTGTATTTTGTGGGCGAAACGCAGCAGCCAAATGCGCACAGCAGCGTCCCCACAAACAGTCGTGGATTGAGTGACCAAATTATATTCTTTTTGAAGGGAATATTACCCCCGGAAAGGGATCCGACAATCGACTAACAACCAGGTTTCTGTTCACTGCCCGGAAAACTGCGTGTGGAGGAAGGAAATTTGCCCGGAAATCCAACCCGGGTCCTCTCGCTCGCGAGGCAAGTAAGTGCTCTAACCACCGAGCTACAGGACTCCATAAAAGATGACTGGGGAATGGGGTGGGGAGTTGATGTCTCGACCGAAAATGCCAGCGCCTCCAACAACACGGCGCTCCCCCCATAACTGACCCGGGAACTCAGT